GTTTTTCCTTTTTCGGTCAAAAATTTAGAAATGTTTTTTTTCGCCAGCCATTTTCTGCGAAGAAAATTTTTTAGTCCCTCCCATCCCTGAGAACAATCGGAAACCCTGTGCATGATAATAAAAGACACTAACAATTAACAAGTCTGTAGTTTATCATCACAGTTAATTGATTACCTGAGAATGCCGATGCTAATGTATCAAACCAAAATGGTTTGTTTTCCTCAATACTTCGACTTAATTTGTGTCCAAATAAAAATGTAAATAATTTTGTTCCATGAAGAGCATATTCGGCTTGTAAAAATTTTTCAATATTTTCTTTAGCAGGACGTTTTGCTGGAAAAAGAAACATTCCCATAAATATTAGAGTAACTAATCGTTTGTCATGTCGGATAAACGTTAAGCTATTATAGTTTACCTGCTATGCACGTTTCTTCATTTTCATCGAGATTACCCGGACAATCGCCTGGATGTCCATCACAAATAAATTGTAATGCGATACATTTTTCACTTTGTGGACATTGAAATGGTTCACTTGGATCGATGCAACCTGATAAACGTAAATGCTAGAAAATATTACATAAATATTATTAGTATTGGTCTTACCTTTAAATGTATGTTGTGGATGTAGGAGATGCAAAGGTGATAAATCATGTTCTGGTTTATTATGTTTGTTTTCTAACCATTTTTTTAAATAAATGAACTTTTGAATGGTGTGGTTCGGAAAACCATGGTTGGTGACTACCATCCACTCCACTATCGCTATATACACATATAAAATAAGATATTAGTCCGATGACAGTTGTAATGAATTTCATATTTAGTCGTATATTATCAAACAGAAATAAATTAGCAATAATAATAATAATAATAATAATAATAATAATAATAATAATAATAATTAGTATAGTGATGTTCAACTAACCTAGAAATACAACAAGAGTTTTGTATCATATACAACTGATACTAAATAATTATACGGTACAGTTTATATTATCAGAATTCATCTATGCATAATCATCAAAATCTTACATTGAAATAGTCAAAAGATATTCCTTTTTTATTAGTTATCTATTTATTGCGGACAGAATAACAACGAAAGTTTCAAAAAGACTATTTAAAGCAAGATACTCAAAATAAAATTAGAAAAAAACTCCAACGTTTTCTATATAATATATTATTTTCTAGTGTAGGCGTTGCACCGTGTACTCGGAAGTTTTTTATTATCAAGACTTACTTGTTCTAAAATTACACCAACACCACCACCAACTATTCTTAGAAATATTTTCAATAAATTTCATACCGGATAAAAGAACATATATTTAGAGTTACTTGGTGAAAAAGTTTAATTATTTAACAATATCGACTTTTTCTATCGGAAAGAATAACCTATTAGAAATACCTTTGTAAATTATCCTAGATTGTTTCCATTGAATTATGCGGAAACTTCGTTCTAATTTCTGTTCAGATAAATGAAGTTTTTTTTTCGATGATAGCACCTATTGATATGAAAGAAAAAAAGAGAAAGACAAATAGGTCAGTAAAATATTTTTTATTTTAATTAATTTATGAAAGATTGATAGTGCCTCTGTGACCGTTAGTTCAATTTTTTTTCTCTCATATTAGAAGTACTACTATTACCATTAATATTCTATTCAGTTTAACTGACGAACCAAAACGTAAAAAAAGAATATAATTTCAATATTCATACAAAGGATTGTTTCCCTGATGAAAACTTGGATAAGATAATCTAAAATGATCTTTCCTTATAACTTAACCACCTGTTTAATCATACTATACTGAAGAGAGAACAAGAGACCAAATATTTATGTGCTCATTAATCATAGGAAATAATGAATATTAAATTAGTACAGATGGTTAAAGTTTATTATTTTCGCTTGTGAAGAGAAGCAAAATGATTCGTGCATAATACAATAATTAACAGAATATTTACACATGCAACACAACTAAAAGACATAACACAGAACTGACTATAACATAAGTCGTTCATTGTCATTTACATATAAATTAGTTCTCGAAAAATATTCGATTCTACAATATAACACATTGATATATTATTAAACCGGCATTAACACAGTTAATCTCGTTCGAGTCTCTGTCTCAATATCAATATTAACAATAATAGGGTAAATTTATACGGAAGGGAAAACATTGAACTTGGATACGGTATATATAGATTCTAAGGCATACAACAATGCATCGACGTTAAATAAAGGGGTTACGAGAGGCAAGCACTATGGAGTTGTGGACAGTCGGACCGTTTTACACGATGAGTCGATTGGGCAGAGTCCTGGTTGAAAGGAGGGTCCAGTTTCAGTTAAAAATTAATGGTAACAGCAGGTATTTCGAAGAGATAGTTCATTCATTACTGTAATTCATCTTCAGAAAAAAATGCTAACATTTTCGCAAGAGACAAGATAGTTTCGAAGAAAACTCGTCTTCATAAAATATTTGATCTTATCTTAGATTAAAAGACAATGTAGGATTAAGCTTTCCTTCAATATTTTTTTTACAATACAGGTTTTTCTGCTTTGGTCGTCTATTACATAATGAGAATAGATGACTATTTTCAAACCAAGGTCAGTCCATTGATTTACTGTAGTGATCACCTTTTGATAAGAGTCGGGGCTATAGCATCGTTTCATTAGAGCTTCGTTCTACCATCATCTAGAGTTCACTAGACTCTGCTATTGATATCTTTTCACAGAAAGCAGTGTTTATTAGTTGTTGACCATTCTAGAAGAATCGTTAACAAACTGAAGACACGAGTTAACAAAAGAGCAAGAAAAAAATAAGAATACTTTTGAAAGATTATTGAAGAATATAATAGTAATGTTCTTAATCAGACCAGTGCTGTAGTTCTGGATTTCAGATTGACATCATAAAAATTTTCTTAACAACTATCTGAAGAGCAGCCTTACTACAATACAAACGTTGATGACTAAATTCAAAAAATGCTTCTTCTTACGTCTTAGAGCTTCTGATCAATCCTTAATTTAACTTATACTATACTACGAGGACAATTTTATAAAAAAAGAATCAACTCATAGTATCAATTAAATCTATCATGCGATCAGATTTTTATCGTAATAACCTCTTTTTGAAGTTTATCGAATTGAAATAGCGATTTCTCTTAAGTTCTATCTCTTAATACTAATTAACTACCACTCTTCTTCAAGCTACTTACTCTCTATTTGATTGTTTTATAAAAAAAAATGTTAATTCATGCTACTCTTGTCTAAGATTTCTTATTGGTGTTTTCTCACATACATTAATAGACAGCGCCGATAAAAAAAAGACAGTGTCTCTAAATTCTTTTAATTTTTATCAAATATATCTTCGATTATTCCTAAAAACATTTTTATAATTTTTTTCTCACTTATTTTCTCTTTTCTTCTATCAGCTAGTTTTTTTCCTTTTTGTGAAAAAAAAGAAAAATCGCATTTTCTACTTTCAACATTACTATTCGAGAATTTCTGTTTGAAACAATTAGTACATAATAGTTGGGAAATATATAGCATTTCCATGTTTTTTTTCCCACATTTTTTTTTTTTTGTCCTAAAAAGATTATCACCAGTCATATACATGTAAGCATAATTGTCATCCAAAAAAATAAAAAAGAATAAAATAGAATAGTAATGGTCAGAAATTATTTTAGTCTTTATATCAGGTCAGTGTACTGTACAAATATTGAACATTGGAATAAGAATATTTTACATTTCAATTTTTCTCCAATTTTTATATGAATGTTTGATTCGAGCTCTGTTTCTTACGCAATTCGATAGAGCATATTCAGTCACACATATCTACCAGTTATTGCGAAAATTAAATCATTTCTCTGTGAGAAAATAAAGATTTTTGCATTCTATTGCAGTTTCAGCCCTTAAAAAATAACTTTTTGAAACTTTTGCACGTATTTCCAAAATAATGAAGGATTTAGAAGAAGAAGAACTTTTTGCTGGAAAAGCTGTTCAGAATAATGTTCTTCACTCTTAAAAAAAATATGTTCTTCAGTTTTTCAGAGAACTGAAAAGTCAACGGAAATTTTGTTTTTTACTTGTCCTAAATAGAAAACTCAAAGTCTGTTCTTCAGTTCTCAAGAACTCAAAATTTGTTCTTCAGTTTTTAAAAAAAATGATTTTTTTCGTTTTTTAAAAAATTGAAAAATAAATTTAGAGTTCTTGAGAGCAGAATTGAAGAACAGAATTTGAGTTTTCTATTTGGAACAAATGAAGAATAAAATTTCCATTGACTTTTCAGTTCTTTGAAAAACTGAAGAACACATTTTTTTTAGTGTTCATACCCTAGACGTACCACTTTTTTCATTTTAATCAGAAAATTTTGAAAAAATAAAATTGATGTAAATTTTAAATAAATTTAAAGCTCAAAATTTTTATTTCCAATTTATTTCAAAATTTTCTCATTAAAATGAAAAAATACCTTTACGACAAATTAAAAAGCGAAATACAAAGTTTTGTAGTGTTGAAGTAATTCATTCAAATGATATATTATTTAATTTTTTAAATAAAATGCGTTGAAGAAAAAAAGAACGGAACCAACCAGCCTACTGTGAACTGATATCGATTTTAAAGAAAAAAATTCATTCAACAAAAATTTTAACAACAGCCTGAAATTAAAGAAAGCTTAACTCCATTAATATTCATTGGATCACGAATCCTTCAGGAAACATAGTACTTAACCACAAACTGACAAAATTTGAGCAAGGTTTAGGGTAGTTACCTCCTCCCATCAAGTAGTTTTTCACAACATTTATTTAAACTGACCTGACAGTTCAAATTTTTTAGAAGAAGTAGTTTTTCACAACATTTATTTAAACTGACCTGACAGTTCAAGTTTTTAGAAGATTTTTGTTAAGTTATTTTTGTGTGCTCTTTATCAGAATAATCATAATTCAACACTTACAACTAATGTGTCAACTTCTGATTTTGCTAGAAACTAACTAAGATTCAGAAAATATTTATTATACGGGTTTTACCTGAAGTGACAAACGCCCTGACGTTAAGGAAATCTGGAAATGACACTATTTGTCAGCAAGCACTTTTTCATTCGGCTATACTGTGTAAAAATTCTTTAACACTGTGATGAACATTCAGAATTCCTAGCAAGAAGAGACAAAAAAATTGTTTAAGAGTGCCCCCTGCATTCATTCAAAAGAATAAATGAAGGTGTAACAGTATTAATTTCATCATATATTTTTTTTTTTATAAAATGATCAAAGAAAAAAATATCAAAAAAAAAGTATTATGTTTTTGGCAAATTTTTATTTGGAAACAAAAGAAGAAATGAAGAGGGAATTAGACCAATAGCATCCGGAAAAGAATACAAATTCATTAGAAATAACAACATGTGTTATCACTTCAATTATGGCAAAATCGATTATTGAATAGAGTTGTCTGTGAACAATAGAATAACAAATAAAAGAAGAAGTGCCAAAATTCATATAGGATTACCCTATTTTTTTTGTCAAAGAAAAATTCATCGAGACACACTAAGTACATAAGTGAATGTACTTGTCAAAACTATTCTATCACTCTCAATCTCAAGCAGGATGATAGCTATTGATCTAAAATTTGTTATAGTGATAGTTCTGAGATAAATATAGAATTTATAACGAATTACAAGTTATCTGCCTGTAAGAATCTGAAGATACGATATTTTTATTTTTTAACACTAAAATCCATATAACTCCATGGGATTAAAGATAAGTTTTTTCCTACCAAAAAATGTAGCAATGAGTTTTAGGTATCTATGTTAGAAGTTCCAAATACTGACTGTTGATTGTCAGAAAAATCACGATTATTTTAGGTGTTCAATCAACATTGAGATTTTAGATGCTGCAGAAAGAAATTCATGAAATATAGAAACAATCTTTTGAATTCAAAGTTCCACGAAATACTGTTCAATATTTGTAGATTGTTTGTACAGAGTTTCTGGTCATAGTATTAAAAACGCCTTGGCGATAACGAAACGTACGTAGAGAGATGAACAAAAGGATTGTTCTTTCTAGGGTGCCAGAAATTCAAAGTTTGAATAAGATTTTTTCCTCCATTTATTTATGCATGGTTGGATAGAACGCATCGAGCTGAGTAGGAAAAAGTGGTTTTTAATCTTTTATAACAATTTTTAAGGAAAAAAGATTGAAAAAATCGAAGGGTCTAAAATTTCGAAAAACCCTTCAGTTTGAAAAAAATTCGAATTTTTTTAAATTTTTTTTCTTAAAAATTGCTTTAAAAAATTAAAAATCACTTTGTTTCTCTTACTCAGTTCGATATGCTC